CCTCATGTTGACCCTCAACCATAAAATTATTTTCATTGCTACTTCATAACTGTAATTTTGCTACTGTAAATAATATGTACTTATATATGTGTTTTCTGATGGTGTTAGGTAACCCCTGTGAAAGGGTCATTCGACCCCCAAACGGGTCGCGACCCACAGGTTGAGAACTGCTGCTGCCTAACCGGTTTTGCTCAGTGGATAGAGCACCAGCCTGCAGACTGAAGGGTCCCAGGTTTGATTCCAGTCAAGGGCATGTACCTTGGTTGCGGGCACATTCTCAGTAGGGGGTGTGCAGGAGGCAGCTGATCGATATTTCTCTCTCATCGATGTTTCTAACTCTCCATACCTCTCCCTTCCTCTCTGTAAAAAATCAATAAAATGTATTTTTTTTAAAAAGCCCTGGTCCAGATGGATTCACAGGGGAGTTTTACCAAACATTCAAAGAACTAATACCTATCCTAATCAAACTATCCCCAAAAAAATCCCAGAGGAAGGAACACTTCCAACCTCTTTTTATGAGGTCAGCATTGTCCCAATTCCAAAACCAGATAAAGACACTACAAAGAAAATTACATGCCAGTATCCCTGATGAACATAGATGCTAAAATCCTCAATATTAGCAAATCAGATCCAGATATATACTAAAAAGATCATACACCTTGAGCAAGTGTAATTCATTCCAGGAATGCAAGACAAGTACAATATTCACAAATTAATAAACATTAAACATCACATAAACAAATTGAAAGACAAAAATCACAGTATCATATCAATAGATGCAGAAAAAGCATTCAACAAAATCTAACACCCAATTTTTATAATATATTTTTTATTGTTTTCAGAGAGAGGAAAGGATGGGGAGAGAGAGATAGAAATTTAAATGATAGAATAATTGATAGGATGTCTCTTGGTCTCTTGCATGCCCCAAGCTGGGGATCAAGCCCACAACCCAGGCATGAATAAATAAATTGCGTGTGTGTGTGTGTGTGAAGTAGCAACGAAAATAATTTTATGGTTGGGGGTCACCACAACATGAGAAACTGTATTAAAGGGTTGCAGCATTAGGAAGGTTGAGAACCACTGGATTAGACCGTCAAACCTCAGAGGGAAGATAGGGGTGATTTTTTTTGATAAAAACTTTCAGCAAAGTGGGAATATAGGGATCATATCTCAACATAATAAAAGCTATATGTAACAAACCTACAGCCAACATCATACTCAATGGGAAAAAACTAAAACCACTTCCTCTAACAGGAAGAAGACAGTGATGTCTGCTTTCACCACTCTTATTCAACATAGTACTGGAAGTCTTAGCCACAGTGATCACACAAGAAGAAGGAAAAAAAAGGCATCTATATTAGAAAGAAGAAAGTAAAACTCTGATTATTCCCAGATGACATGATACTGTACATAGAAAACCCTAAAGACTCCACCAAAAAACTATTGGGTTTAATAAAGGAATTTGGCGATGTAGCAGGATACAAAATTAACACCCAGAAATTGATGGCATTTTTATGCACCAATAATGAATTCTCAGAAAGAGAAACTAAACAAGCAGTCCCATTTATCATTGCAAGAAAAAATTAAGATACTTAGGAATAAACTTAAAGAAGTAAAAGACTTATACTCAGAAAACTTTAGGAAGTTGAAGAAAGAGATAGAAGAAGATATAAACAAGTGGAAGAATATACCGTGTTCTTGGATTGGTAGAATTAACATAAATAAAATGACCATACTACCCAAAGCAATCTATAGATTCAATGCAATCCCTACTAAAATACCTATTAAAAAGCAATAGCATATTTCACAGATCTAGAACAAATACCTCAAAAATTTATATGGAAGCCAAAAAGCCCCTGAATAGCTACAAGAATCTTGAGAAAGAAGAACAAAGTTGGAGGGATCACAATAACAGATATCAAATTTTACTACAAAGCCACTATCATCAAAACAGTCTGGAACTTTCACAAGAACAGTCATACAGATCAATGGAACAGAAAAGAGACCTCAGAAATTGACCTAAACCATTACTCTCAATTAATATTAGACCAGTGGTTCCCAAACTTATTTGGCCAACCCCCCCTTTTGAGAAAAAATATTACTCAGCGCCCCCTGGAAATTAATTTTTTTAATTTTAATAGCAATTAAACAGAAAGATATATGTATTAATGTTTCTACCTTTTTCATAAAATATAGTAAAGAAAGGTGTAAATTATAAACATTGAAGTTTGAAATTATGAAACTATTTATTGAACTCAGAATAGAAAGGTAATACAAAAAAAGTTAAAACAAATGCACCTGTGGCCATCACCGCCCCCCCCCCCCTGGATTGCTGCAGTGCCCACCAGGGGGCGGTAGCGCCCACTTTGGGAATCACTGTATTAGACAAAGGAGGCAAAAGCATACAATGGAGTCAAGACAGTCTCTTCAATCAATGGTGTTGGGATAATTGGATGTGCAAAAAAATGAAACTAGACCACCAACTTACACCATACACAAGAATAAAATTAACATGGAAAAAGACTTAAAATGTAAATCTTGATACTATAAAAATCTTAGAAGAAACCATAGGCAACAAAATCTCAGATATCTCTTGTAGCAATATGTTTGCTGATACATCCCCTAGAGCAGGGGTTCTCAAACTACAGCCCATGAGCCACATACAAATACAAATATTGTATTTGTTCCCATTTTGTTTTTTTACTTCAAAATAAGATATGTGCAGTGTGCATAGGAATTTGTTCATAGTTTGTTTTTTTTTAAACTATAGTCCGGCCCTCCAATGGTCTGAGGGACAGTGAACTGGCCCCCTGTTTAAAAAGTTTGAGAACCCCTGTCCTAGAGCAAAGGAAACTAAGAAGGTCTAGGAATATATCCTAAGAAACTTGAAACACTAATCCGAAAGAATGTATACACCCCTGTGTTCATAGCAGCTTTATTTACAACTAGAGGCCCGATGCACGAAAATTCATGCAAGAGTAAGCCTTCCTTCCCCTGGCTGCTGGCACTGGCTTCCCTCTGGCACCCAGGACCCAGCTGTTTCCCTCCTCTGGCTGCCCGCAGACACCCGGGACCCAGGCTGGCTTCCCTTGGGCCCCCGCTTTGTCAGGGAGGACATCCAGAAGACATCATGTCTCATTAGCATATTACCATTTTGTTATTATAGGTAGCTAAGATCTGGAAACAGCCCATGTGCCCATCAGTAGATGAGTGGGTAAAAAAGCTGTGGTACATTTATACCATGGAATACTATGCAGCAGTAAAAAAGGATCTCTCCCCCTTTGAGACAGCATGGAGAGACCTGGAGAGTATTGTGCTAAGAGAAATAAGCTTCTCAGAGAAAGACAAGTATCACATGATCTCACTCATATGTGGAATCTAATGAACCAAATAAAATGATGAACAAAATGGATCCTGAGATATAGAAGATGGAACAGACTGACAAATCTCAGGGAAGACCGTGAAGGGTGGGTGGGTGAGAAGAGATCAATCAAAAAACATGTATGCATATATGCATAATCCATGGACACAGACAATAGGGGGCGGGCTAGAAGAGGTCAATGGAGGTGAAAAAGGGGGACATGTGAAATACTTTCAACAATAAAGATTTGGAAAAGAAAAAGAACATAATACTCTGGCATATTTCAGAATGGTTTTCCTTCCCTCCCTTTGCCAGGAGCATAAAGCGATTTTTTTCAGATATTCACTGTGAGGAATTCATAAAAATCCTGCAGGTAAAATTCAGGAAAATGCCCCCCCCTCGCCCTCCGCACCCGATGATAGGATCTTCTTAGAGTCTTTAGCTCTCAGACTTGTCCACTCTGAGCTTTCAGCAATTAATTCACCAACTGTAGTTGAGGTTTCCCTACCCCAGCACTGTTTCCCATGAGGTTTTTGCTCCTGTACATTGTGATTATTGTATCCACCTGTCTGTCCCTCCAATATTTGGGGCAGCAGTTTGCCCTGTGACCTCACTTTTCTGATGGATATAAGAAGAGTTCCAGATTCTTTAGTCGGTTCAACTTCTTACTAGTTATGATCAAACTAGAGGCCAGGTGCATGAAATTCATGCATTCGGGGGGGGGGGCCTTCAGCCCAGCCTGCACCTAGTCCAGGAGCCCTCAGGAGATGTCCAACTGACGGCTTAGGGCCAATCCCCCTGGCTGCTGGCACTGGCTTCCCTCTGGCACCCAGGACCCTGGGGATTGGGCCTAAGCCGTCAGTTGGACATCCTCAGCACTGCCATGGAGGTGGGAGAGACTCCCTCCACCACTGCTTCACTTGCCAGCCATGAGCTCGGCTTCTGGCTGAGCAGCATTCCCCCTGTGGGAGCACACTGACCACCAGGGGGCAGCTCCTGCATTAAGTGTCTACCCCCTGGTGGTTAGTGTGAGTCATAGTGACTGGTATTCTGCCATTCAGTCGATTTGCATATTAGAGTTTGATTATATAGGCTAGTTACAATACACACAGATGCCATTCCATTGTTTCTTAGCAAATGCCCACCTCAACCATCCCAAACAAGTTGGATTGTTAAAAATGCTGCAGAATGACTCTACTTTACTCTCTCAAGAGTTTTTCCCTTCATTCTAATGAAAATTCCCTTTTTTACTGTTTGATAGTGGCAGGAAATTGGGCCAAATAATCTCTTAAATGCATTTCAACTTTAAGATCTCAAAGTTACAATATTTTCTGTTTATAGTATAACTTCTAAAATAGGTGCTTTTATTCCCTAAATGAGTCAGATTCTTTCAGTGATTTCTGGGGTTAAACTATGGAGTCGGGAGGGAGCTCTGTGTCTGTGAGGCTTTGTGTATATACTTGTTTATTCTTCAACTATAGAAACTATTCTTCATGCCTAGTCAGCTAAGCCAAGCTAAAGGTATTTTCCTGAAAATGTACATATAACTACCAAGTATTATAACGTTGTTATTTTTATAATTACTCCATATTAGAAAACTACCCAGTTTAATAATTTAATTTTATATTATTTATTACAGGACAGGATAAGAGAAAATGATAGCAATTGCCTGAATAATGAACCTAACTTTTTTAAAAAGCATTCATGTGATGATGATAAGGTAATGATAATTATTTGGAGTTTGTATGTCATTCGAGCTTGATTTCATAGAAGCTTATATGCTTTTGTAGCTGTTAGATAATTATATTGATTATATTAATAACTTATTCTTTTGGCTCTAAGCAGGCAGTTCCCATTGATCTATTAAGTCATCCTGTGGTGTTCTTTTATACTCTTATTTTACAAATAGTCCTGCACTTATTTGATAAATATGTTTACTTTAGCATTTCACTTTTCACTTATAAAATGCTAGAACTGTTGAATTCAAAGAGACACACATCTCTTATTTCTGAAATCTTTATGAAGGAAAATGCTTGCTAGGGCATAATTTAGTTGTAGGCATTTAGAAATTGTTTTCTTTTAATATTTGCTAATCTTCACACCACGACAACTTCTAGTTGGTGTAAAACTTTCAACAAACGCTTGTGTGATTTCTTTCCACAAAAACCAGTGTGGTATTCAACAGTCTTTTTAAAAAATAATAGCTGAGTTAACCTTATGGCATCTAATAGTCTATAGTCATAAGTTCTTATTTTTAAAATTTCTATAATTACAGTGTGATTTGTTTTAGGTGAATATCACTTTTTATTTTCCTATTACCAGCTACTCATCCATAGCTCAAAATGTACAACATCATAACAATAAGAAAGCCACACATACCTTTCATTGTCGTTGCTTCCAGAAGACCTCTCCCTTGGTTATCTTGCTTAAAATTAAATAAACTTGTTATGTGCCCACCCACAAGGGGTAAGATCATACATACATTACAGAGAAAGAGAATTTTAAAAGCTAATCATTAAACTGAGTTCCAGGCCCTTCAGGCTGTCAGCTTCTAGGCCACAGTTTCAGTCCAGTTACTTGTCAGTCATGTGATTAACTGGAAAAGAAAGCTGGGTGGAGGTGGGGTATTGCTTAGCAACAGGGTTCTGGCTTTAGGATCCTTAAGAAAGCTTTTCATTTCATAATATTTTATTTGAACCACAGCCCTTCTGATTTTTTTCTGTAATAGGAAGCTACGTTTTTAAAAACTGCTGCTCGCAAGTTGAAGCAATTTCTTAAAATGAATATCCATGAGGAATTCAAGCTCCACTTATCAATAGTTTCACAGGGCACATTAAAACTGTTGAACTGCACCAGGAAGGTAAGCTGAGGACTATTTATTTTGAACAAAAGTATAAACTACTCCCCTTATAGTTTTATTAGAGATATTATCATTCTCTAATGATCCACCATCATAGAATCTAAGTGCTTATTATAACTTAATCTTGAAATACATTTACTCAACTCTGGAAGAGGAAGATCGCAACTTGAAAATACCTATTTTTCTCTTGGCTAGGGCAAATCAATAGTTCTAAAAGGGGAGTAAAAGTGAATGCATATTTCATTGCCTTAACAACTTTCAAGGAGGCTAGTGTGATAAGTGGGGTGGGGAAAGGTAAATTTTTATCACTAAAACTTATTAATATTTTTAATCCACATATGTCTAGATTTATAAAAACTCATAGCAAATAAAACAGGTAAAATGTATTTAACAAATATCTTCCTCATTAACACTGGGCATGTACACTGAGTGGCCAGATTATTATGACCACCTGATGTTTGTAGGCAAATTAGCTGTACACTGCATCGTATGGGCCGAAGGCCTGTTCGAACACCTTTGCTGTCTGCTGTTACCAAGATAAAACGTCTCCAATTCGCACAGGAACACAAGGATTGGACAGTCTAGCATTGGAAAAAAGTCATGTGGTCCGATGAATCATGTTTCCAGTTGCATCATGCAGATGGCAGAGTGAGAATTTGGCGGAAACAGCATGAAAGCATGCACCTCACATGCACGAATACAACCCTTCACGCTGGTGAGGGCAGTGTTGTGGTTGGGGCATGTTTTCCTGGCATGATTGCCATCAGGCAGCTGGTTCCACAACCATCAAATCTCACAGAACTTGACAGTGCTATTCATCAGGCCTGGTGTCAGATTCCTCGCATCACCTTTCAACATCTCGAGGAGTCAGTGCCAAGAAGAATCGCCGCAGTATTGAAGGCAAAAGGTGGCCCAACGAAGTCCTGATGGGGTGGTCATAATAATCTGGCCACTCAGTGTATATGACCAACAATTTTCTATTTCTTTGTTTCAATAATTTTGATAAGTATAGGGCTAATTTTTCCCTACTGCCTGCTAGCGGTTGTTAAGCAAACAAAATTAAAAAAATTGGAAAAGATTATCTTGAGTGTAGAAAGTTTCTTAATCTATAAAATGAAGGGAAAATAATAGTATACATTATAGGCTATTGAAGATTAAATGGCATAACTCATGTAAAATGCTTAGGATCAAAAAGGTTTCGATAAGTGTTATATTATTATTACAATTAACCTTCTCTTCAGGAATTTTACCAGCTGCCACACAAAGCCAAAAGGTTTCTTATGATTTTTTAAAAGAAAATTTTTAGGATAGAAAAAGGGTTGTGTGTTATTTTTTAAAACCAGTAGTTGCCCACAGCTCAAGTGGTAAAACTGTTTTTGCGCCCTCCTGGTAGTGATGACAAAGATGACGTAAGCTGAACCAGTTCCCTTATCATGTGTTAGGTACACAGTGCCAGCCAGTCTCCTCCTGGTGCCCTGGGTTTGCCAAACTTATTTCCCATTTTGTCCCCTTACGTATGTTAGTCTCTTTTCTATAATTCTGATCTGCCCTGGTCTACATCCTTCAAGGCCACACTCAAGATTCATGAAGACTTCATAGTCTAGCCTACCAGCTCTTAATCCTTATTCATAGTGATATCAAACTACTGTCTAGTGCAAGAAAGGCCAATAGGTTCATTGTTGCTTACACATCCAAATGCTTAGTAATGCCTGTTGGAAACACCATGTTGTGTATTAGCCTCAAGTCAAGGCTCAACTGAAAAACTGCAGACAAACTAGTGATATCACCTCTTCCCCTAAGAAGGGTAGGGGTTATGGGTATGCTATGTATTTGCATTTCCTTCTCTCATGTGCTGAGCTTTGCATGGATCACCATGTTCCAAAATCAACTAACTGTCAAGAAGGAAAACACAAATGATTTATTCTTAAAATTAAATAAAATTATGTCACAAAATTAACTAACCTGATACAATCTGCATTTTTCTTAAAATGATAAGGTAAGATATTAAGTACAGTCAGCTACGTTGACTTTTCCTCGTGAGTCAGGTCTGCATGTACTATTGATTATTTCATTTTGCTTCTGATAGATAAAGCACAATAAAATGTATGGTCAGGATTTCACAATTTAATGATGACTTTATTTTCATATTGATTAAAATTCTAGTGTTGTTTGTTACTATACCCTTCTGTATTAGGTTTTTTACTTTATTTATTTATTTATTTATTTAAATTTATCTTTATTGTTGAAAACATTGCAGATGTCCCCCCACCTCCATATATTAGTTTTTCATGCCTCACAGGCATTAAGACAGTGCTGGGCATACCTGCAGGATCCAGGGCATTCAGAAGATAATTTCTCTTGCTTCTTCCTTTCCCTCATCCTCATACAGGCATACCTCGGAGATATTGTGGGTTCAGTTCCAGACCACCCCAAAAGAGCGAGTCGCTGAATTATTTTTTGTTTCCTAGTGTATATAAAAGTCATGTTTACACTGCATTGTAGTCTATTAAGTGTGCAATAACATTATGCCTAAAGATGTACATGCCAAAAATACTTTATTGCAAAAAAATGCTAAACATCATCTGAGCCTTTGAGTAGTAATCTTTTGCTGCTGGAGGGTCTTGTCTTGATGTTGATAGTTACCGACTGATGTGGGGTGTTGCTATAGGTTGAAGAGGCTGTAGCAATTTCTTAAAATAAGACAACAATGAAGTTTGTCACATCAATCGACTCTTCCTTTCATGAGTGATTTCTCTGTCCCATGTGATGTTGTTTGATAGCATTTTACCCACATAGAGCTTCTTACAAAATTGGAATCACTCTTCTCAAATCTTGCTGGTGCTTTATCAACTAAGTTTATGTCATATTCTAAGTCCTTTGTTGTCGTTTCAATATTCTTCACAGCACCTCCACCAGGAGTAGATTCCATTACTTAACCCTATGGAGCAACTTCTCAGCCATTAAGGCTTTGTCATGAGATGCAGCAATTCAGTCCCATCTTCAGGCTCCACTTCTAATTCTAGTTCTCGCCATTTCTACTGCATATGCAGTTCCCTCCTCCATTGAAGTCTTGAACCCCAAAAAGTCATCCATGAGGGTTAGAAACAACTTCTTCCAAAGTCCTGTTAATGTCGATATTTTGACCTTGTCCCATGAGTCATGAATGTTCTTACTAGCATCTGGAATGGTGAATCCTTTTCCAGGTTTTCCATTTACTTTGCCCAGATCCATCAGAGGAATCACTATCTATGGCAGCTACAGCCTTTTGACAGGTATTTCTCTTTTTTAAAAAAATATATTTTATTGATTTTTTACAGAGAGGAAGGGAGAAGGATAAAGAGTTAGAAACGTCGATGGGAGAGAAACATCTATCAGCTGCCTCCTGCACACCTCCTACTGGGGATATGCCTGCAACCAAGGTACATGCCCTTGACTGGAATCAAACCTGGGACCCTTCAGTCTGCAGGCCGACGCTCAATCCACTGAGCCAAACCAGTTAGGGCTTGACAGGTATTTCTTAAATAATCAGACTTGCAAGTTGAAATTACTCCTTGTTCCATGGACTGCAGAATGGATGTTAACAGGTATGAAAACAACATTAAACTGGTTGTCTAGTTCCATCAGAGCTCTTGGATGGCCAGGTGCATTGTCCATGAGCAGTAGTATTTCAAAGGGAATCTTTTTTCCTGAGCAGTAAGTCCTAACAATTGGTTTAAAATATTCAGCAAACCGTGTTGTGAACCGATGTGCTGTCATCCAGGCTTTGTTGCATTTAAAGAACACAGGCAGAGTAGATTGGACATAATACTTAAGGGCCCTAGGATTTTCAGAATGGAAACTGAGCACTGGCTTCAGCTTAAAGTCACCAGCGACATTAGCCCCTAACAAGAGTCAGCCTTTGAAGCTCTGAAGCCAAGCTTTGGCTTTCCCTCTCTAGCTGTGGAAGTCCTAGTTATCTTCTTCCAAATGAGGGTGTTTCATCCACATTGAATCTGTTGTTTAATGCAGCATCTTCGGTAATTATCTGAGCTAGATCTTCTGCATAGCTTGCTGCAGCTTCTACACCAGCATTCGCGGCTTCACCTTGCACTTTGTGTTATGGAGAGGACTTCTTTCCTTAACCTCATAACCAACCTCTGCAGCTTCAGACTTTCCTTCTGCAGCCTCCTCACCTCTCAGCCTTCATAGGATTGAAGAGTTAGGGCCTTGCTCTGGATTAGACTCTGGCTTGAGGGAATGTTGTGGCTTGACCCTCTATCCAGACCACCAAAACTTTCTCCAGATCAGCAATAAGGCTGTTTGGCTTTCTTATCATTCATCAGTTCACTGGAGTAAGCACTTTTAATTTCCTTCAAGGACATTCCTATTGCTTTCACAATTTGGCTAACTTTGGAGCAAGAGGCCTAGCTTTCAAACCATCTTGGCTTTCGACATGCCTTCCTCCCTAAGCTTACTCATTTCTCTCTTTTGATTTAAAGTGAGATATGCAACTCTTCCTTTCACTTGTACTCTTAGCGGCCATTGTAGGGTTATTACTTGTGTCTCAGTGGATGAGGAGGCCCAGGGAGAGGGAGTGAGATAGAGGAATGGCTGGTCAGGACACAGTATTTATCAGTCAAGTTCACCATTTTATGTGGGTACAGTTCATGGCGCCCCACAATAATTGCAATAGTAACATCAAAGATCACTGATAACAGATTACCATAACAAATATAATAATGGAAAAGCTTGAAATATTGAGAGAATTACCAAAATGTGACACAGACATACAAAGCAAACTAATGTTGGAAAAATGGTGATGACAGACTTGTTCAATGCAGGGTGGCCACAAACCTTCAATTTGTAAAATAAAAAAAAATAAACTCACCATGCAATTATATGGGGAGTGCAATAAAGTGACGCATAATAAAACGAGGTATGCCTGTATTCTACTTCTAAATGAAATGAGTATCTGCTAACAACAAATAATTGAAAGTAGATTCTCAAAAAGATTAGATGAGCTGAGAGTAATATACAAGAATTAGCAATAACATTAATGGGAGAAGCAATAAAGAATTAATATTCAATGTTGTAAATGTAACTTTGTTTTTAAGGATAAAGAAAAAAAACAACCTTCCTTGGGTGAAGTCCAACCCACTAAGAATTTGGTGAGAATAATTGTATAATTTTCTTCCTTTATCAGTTTTTTATTTAACTTAATTTCTTAATGTTTCTCTCTGAATTTTCTTTTTTATAGTTGGTTTTGAAAATACTTTATAATGTTATTAAAAGTAGCAAGAAGGTACTTCTTTGAAATTGCATCCCTTTAAACTGTTTTTTTCTTTAAAAAACACTATTTTATTTTACCTTATATCATTTTTTTTATTTTATTGGGTTGACATTGGTCAACATGAACATATAGGTTTCATGGTTTCATGTGAAGGGTTCTATGTTACAAAATTTGAATATGGCATCATGTGCCCACCATCCAAACCACTATTTTAAAATAAAAGAAGCTAGGGGAAATATCAGAGCATTGATTTTTTTTTAGAAAGCAACAAAATTGAAACATCACTAGGTAATAGATAAAACATGAATTAACTATATAGGAGAAAGTAAACTAGAAAACAAGCATATGAAGAAAAAAAGCCATCCTTATTCCTTAGTAAAGAAATAAAAATTTAACATGAGAACCTATTTTATACCTATTTTATTAGTACAGAGTATTCAATATATACTATAGGTGTATGTGAATATTCTACATTTATAGATCATCTTTATATTACTTAACCTATATAATAAAAGGCTAATATACAAATAGACCGAATGGTGGAATGACCGGTCGCTATGATGCACACTGACCACCAGGGAGGAGACCCTGGTCAGAGCACTCCCACAGGGGGAGTGCCACTCAGCCAGAAGCCAGGCTGACGGCTGGTGAGCACAGCAGCAGTGGCAGGAGCCTCTCCTGCCTCCATGGCAGGCAGACATTCCCCCAAGCAGTCCCGGACTGCGAGAGGGCACAGGCCAGGCTGAGGGACCCACCCCTCCAGTGCACAAATGTCAAGCACCGGTCCTCTAGTATTAAATATTTATACTAACAGATACTATTGCACAAAATTATATAGCAATATAAAAATAAATGTGAATGAAAAACTCAGGATAATGAATTTGATTAAACATTAACCCCTTCCCCAACAATTTTTTTGTTAAAAACGTTTCTTTTTCAGACTAATTTTTTTATTTTGGTTCTATATAGTATTTTTGATGCTGGTTATGAAAACAGTTTGTAACTCGTCTTCCTATAAACCATATTTTTTTACCATATTTTCTTAGTATACTCGTCGACGACTGAAAAAGAACATTTTGTGAAAACGAGTATACACGTTTCTGCCGGGAAAGGGGTTAAATTGATATCAATATTAATTAGGAAAGGACATGTAAAAATGGATGCACCTGGTTCATAAGAGTGATGGGTTCTCCTTTCATATTTCCATTATTATTATAACTAGAGGCCTGTTGCACGAAAAGATTCGTGCAATAGGCCTTCCCTTCCCCTGGCTGCCAGCACCGGTTTTCCTCTGGCCCCCAGGACCCAGGCCTTTGCTCCAGCCAGAGCCGCCTTCAAGCCTTCGCTCCGCCGCTTCGCGCCTGCATATGCAAATTAACCGCCATCTTTGTTGGTGGTTAATTTGCATATCTCCCTGGTTAGCCAATGAGAGGCGCAGCGAAGGTATGGTCAATTACCATGTTTGTCTATTATTAGATAGGATGTCATTTGAGCAATAGATACATGGGAGCATGAAAATCCCGTGCTCCTTTTAGAGAAGGAGCTAGCTTGCTTACCTGGGACTCAGGAAGCCTAGGAATCCCACTTGAACTAGCAGAGTTGAAATGAACACATGAGCAATTTAAACACACTGAGGGCTTCTGGGTAAGAACACATGGGTGGTGGGCACGCAATGCATCATAGAAACATACACTTGAAACCTACATAATCTTATTAACCAATGTCTACCCCAATAAATGTAATTTTTAAAAAAGAAAGGACATGAGAACAACACCAGACAAGAAAAACTGGGAAAGATATAGAAGGGAGATACCATCTGTGTTCTCAGGATTATAGAAATAAAATGGTTCTTGGCTTTTGTCTTTTTAATGAATGTTCACTCTTGGTCTCTGAAGAAAAGTCATGAAATTCTCACATCCATGTATTTCCCATCTGCTTGGTCACATAAACTTAAACATGTACTCTTTAAATATGTCCTGGGACCCTCACTAAAAAGTCTATGAGAAATTCTCCTTCATAATTATCTTTGATATCCGTTGTCTAATATTTTTAATGGATATTTCAAGGCCGTGTGTTAATGTTATTCAACAAACACCTGAAAGAGACCCAAATCTGTGCCTTAACTAAAAATAGAACAACTGAGCTCAAGACCCCGTCATTATACTTACCTGACATGTGACCATAGCGGCTTATTTACCCTCCTTGCGGCTCTTCCCTCATCTGTGAAAGGAGGCAAAATCAGCAATTTCATAGAGTCAAGTAGATACAATGAAAGAATGTGAAGCACATCTGACCTATAAAATACCCAATGACTGGTTGTAATCTCAGGAAGGGTCCCTGCCCTGTCCCAGCCCCACTTCCAGTGGCTCATGGGAGTGTAAGAGTATCAGCAAGGCTGCTCCTTGCTCCTCTCTTCCATGGGAGGTACCTCTTTCTCCGCTCTCCAGAGGCTGTACAGGAAACTGTAGGATTTTCATCAACAAATGAGAGTTAGCTCCTGAGGCACGTGCGGACCGATGGTAGGGTGGACCTTCGGGCACATGCTCACTCAGGTAGATCCTTAGTCATCATCTTTGCTAAAATACGCTGCCTGTTTTCAGTGCTAACTATTTCTTCCACACAAAAATATGTTTTCCCATATTAAAAAACCTAATTGAGTAATTTACAAATACCTTTACAAAAATTTAAATGGCATTTTTGTCCTACTGTTGTAGCCACCAGGCATCGCTCTTGAATGAATTCTAAATCTTAAACCACAACAACCTTGAATTTCCTACATATCATCCCAACTAGAGTTAGAAATCACAGGTTTAAAGTATGATGCAAGAATCTCCTTTCCCATGACACAGAATTTTCAGTAGAACCTAAGATGGTGGAAATTAAAGATTGAATATTTGAAAACATGTATTTTTATAACAAAGTGAACTTAAAACTTTTTTTGCATATTTCTGTAGGAAGAGAAAAAATCTTCAAAGGGACAGAAAAAACAGGATGAAATGTGTTTCCTCATGATACTACTAGAAAAGATAAAAACTTGCTGGAATAAAATTTTGAGTGGCACTAAAGAACATTGAAACGTATGGCGTGACAAAATAAAGACGTGAACTTTAATTGCATCCCTCAAGAGTTGATCTGCTCGTGCAATTTTCCGGGGTAGAACACCTCCCAGAAATTACTGAATGTACTTGCTAAAAATGGGTTAGAGCAATTGAGAAATACATGCTGTGGTACTAGAAGGACACAAACAATGGAACCAAATGCTGCAATCAACGGACTATTTCCTATGTGTGTGCACATGCGTCAGCTGGTGTTAATTTGGGGCTGATTTTTGTAAGACGATCCATGTAAGGTATTAGCTGCAATAATCCTTTTTAGACCTGTTAAAAATGTTCAGGAGACATGTAAAATCTGTGGTGTACCTAAAGGTTACAAGGATTAAAAATTAGCTTTGCTTTATTTCTTTATGGCCTACTATGCATCAGTATAATGCAATGAGTGTGGATAGTGTCATCTTCTGGCAGAGTTGACAGTGAGGTATGGATAATGCCCAAGAGAACAAGTCATGTATCTTAAAGCAGAAACGTAAAGGTTTCCAAGATGCTTTAAGAGGTCTGTGACTGTGTAGCACATTGCCTCCAGTAGATGGCATAGAGAATGTCCTAAAATGAAAACAAAGAATAATTTCACAAAATAGGAAGTCACCTGTTTTAAGGCTGCTAAGCCATAGTACCGAGTTTCTTCTGTCATTTACGTGTAATAAAACTTGTCTAAATGAGTTTGCAATTTGGGAAGTATATTTTTAAGAGAATAATATATGTTGCCTTTTAATTAATAGAGTGTGTATATTTAATTTTGACACTATATCTGTATATAAAAATATTTTCATACAGTATTACGAACAAATTACTTGCTTTGGATAACATTTCTCCTTTGATAATAAATGACCTATGTATTAACACTGTCAGATTCACTTAATCTCAACAGAACTTTTTTCCCAGTTTTATTGGGAAATATTTGACATGTATCACTGTATATGTTTAAGGTATCCGATATGATGGTTTGTTTTACATATATTGTGAAATGATTAACACGATAAGGTCAGCTAACATCCATATTCTCATATAATAAAAAGAAAAGAAAGAAAAAAACTGTTTTCTCTTTATGATGAGAACTTACAGGACTTACTCTTAACAATTTTCCTGTGTTGGGTACAGCAATGTTAGCTATAGTCATCATGTTGTTCATCCCAGTTATCTTATAACTGGACCTTTGTACCTTTTCACCACCTGTCTCCAGCGTCTCCTTCCCCCTATCCTCTGTGTCTGGTGTCTTTTTTTAATACATTTTTATTGATTTCAGAGAGGAAGGGAGAGGGAGAGAGAGATAGAAACATCAGTGATGAGAGAATCATTGATCGGCTGACTCCTGCACACCCCCTACTGGGGATCAAGTCTACAGCCCGGGCATGTGCCCTTGACCGAAATCGAACACGGGACCCTTTAGTCCACATGCCAACAACTCTATCCACTGAGGCAAACCAGCCAGGGCTGTGTCTGGTGTCTTTTCATACAAGCTTTTATTTTTAGGTTCCACATGTGAGATCATACAATATTTGTCTTTCTCTGTCTGACTTATTTACTTAACATAATGTCTTCAAAGTCCATCCATGTTGCCACAAATGGTAGGATTTCCTCATTTTTATGGCTGAATAATCCATCCACTAAAAGACACTTAAATTTTTCCCATGCCTTGGATATTGTGAAGAAAGCTGCTATGAATAGGGAGGTACAGTTATCATTTTGAGTTAGTGCTTTGGATATATTCCTGGAAGTGGAATTTCTGGATCATATGGTAGTGCTATTTTTAATTTTTTAAGCTCTTCCATACCGTTTTTCATAGTGGCTGAACCGATTTATAGTCCCACCAACCGTGCAAGTGGGGTACCTTTTCTCCACCTCCTCACCAGCATCTGTTACCTCTTGTCTTTTTTATGATGGCCATTCTAACAAGCACCAGGTGTTATCTCATTGTGATTTAAATTTGCATTTTCCTAATGACTAGTGAGCCAACAGGATTTTTTTAAGGCGAGATTTTTAATATTGCCCTACTATTTGGTCTCTTTCACTGAACACATAACCGTTAATACCTTATTACCAAGAACATACACGGGGCCAATGATAGTACTATTAAACGGGTTCTGCTAAATATTTTTCCATACTTCCAATTATTCCATCAAGAAGTATATATCTTATAAATAAAACTAGAGGCCCAGTGCACAACATTTGTGCACTTGGGGCGGGAGGGGTCCCTCAGCCCAGCCTGTGCCCTCTCACAGTCCAGGACCCCTTGGGGGATGTCTGACTGACAGCTTAGTCAGACATCCTTAGCACTGCCGCAGAGGCAGGAGAGGCTTCCACCACCACCGCTGTGCTCACAAGCCATGAGCCTGGCTTCTGGCTGAGTGGTGGGGAGCACACTGACCACCAGAGGGCAGCTCCCGTGTTGAGCATCTGCCCCGTGGTAGTCAGTGTGCATCATAGGGACCGGTCATTCTGCCGTTCGGTCAATTTGCATATTAAAGTTTTATTATATAGGATTACTAGGTTATGAAGCATGAATATTTTTAAAGTTTTTATATTAAAGTAAATTTAGTCAACTTTTAAAAATGTATTATCAATTTCTATTTCTGTCAGCATATAAGGCCTTTCATCTTCATGCCCCGTGGCAGTTTTCAGTTTCTTTATAAGACTGCTGGTTTGATGAATAAATCAGCACTTCTCTGTGGAGTACACTCAGCACTCCTGGCAACCTCCTATTCCCAGCCTCATTGCAGCAAATTCACAATAGGATGGAAAGTGCGGTGCTTGGGCAAACAGAGAAAAGGGAAGGGAAAAGGGAAGGGTTATGTGAGAGAGAGTGAACTGATGTGTCATCGGTAACTTTTATGCAAAGGCGCTTTTTCTGAGTCACCAGGACACTGGAAGTCAGCCGCGTTTTGCAGCTCTCGTGGACCCACCACACACGCATCCTTCCCACGGCCACGTGCCTTTCCCTCCGAAGGTGGTTAGTACAGCTCTCGCTCACAGCCCTCCGGTCTCCTCCCGAGCACTGGGACAAGGAAGAAAAACAGAAAATGGAATGGTCGGCTAACTTGTGATAAGAAAGCTGCACTTTCAACACTTCTGCAATATTTTGTTCTTGCTTTTACAAGATAGAAAATACTATTAAAATAAATCCTTGTTTGTCCCAAGTTGTAGTTGTCTGTATATCTATCAACTTCTCCAAATAAATCATCAACTTTAGGACAGAAATTAATCACATCTTATTTCTCTTAATTCTTCATAGAAGGAAGACCATATATAACATATTTTAAGTGTATATGAAGCTTTAGTTTTGTGCATGTTACGTTAGGCTAAGCGTTTTACCTCCTATTTAAATTGATGTCACTGTCACATGTTAAAGTTAGGCCAGATGATTGGGAAAAAGGCCTTATTTTAAAGATTATAACTGCTGTACAACTAAGATAAAATATTAAAATAATAGACCAAGGAATATTTGGTAATGTTCATGAGTAATACATTAGAGATAGATAATTGCTAACAAAATTTAAGGTAAATATTAAATACTTCTAGCAATTATAAGCACCCTGGTGCCCAAAATGAGCTAGACTAGGTTTCTAAGAAATCAACAGATGGGTCATGAAATCCAAAAACCTCTCTCTTACAAATCGCTGTAATTCCATGCTCCCATCCCCACTCAGATATTCATGCCTATGTTGCTGAGGAGCTTTTAAAATAATGGAGGGCTGGTAATATTAGCCTAAAGCACCCCCTAGTGGCAAAATAAAAACCAATCCACATACTACAGTTTTACAGCCAAGCAAAACTGTATGTAATCAATGAGTATCGACAGTAACATGTAATTGGAAAAAAAAAGTTAAGTGAAACTAAAAATGAGTGTGGCTATCATTAACTCCGTTTTAATGACTCTCCACTGCCCTATTAAATAATGCAGACAGTTGGGAAATCAGCCTATCTTCTATCTCAGTACTAAAAATATACTTAACCATATAAAATACCTACACCTGCAATGCAAATAGACAGGAGTTCCATCATTTTTTTCATTCCCTGAGCCTCTCTACTCATGGTAACAATACTCACTTCTGGCCTACAGAAAACTGAGTACAAATTAAACATGTCTAATCTGATGTTTTCACCGGAGTTAACTCCTGTTATAATTTTAAGCATGATGGTCTAAATTACTTAGACTCTAAGTAAGTATTCATCACAGATGAATATGTTTGCCATTCAATTGTGTGTTGCCTAATTAGAAATATTCAATGTGTTTTAACCTGGACTTCACTAAATGTTTTCAATTGCTAGATTTTATTGGCTATGAAGAGAATGTTTCAATGCCTTAATCTGCGACAAACCTTTAAGGTCAAAAATATTTCAATAAAATAGTAATAATTTATTTGACAGCTAATGGCACACAAAAATCTGCTCATTTTTAAAACTCTAACTTTTAAAACTCTTACATTTTGACTTCAAAGATTTTCTTTGTTTCTTTGTCTTCCTATCTTTCTACCTATGTCTGGCTAAAAGACAAGACATCAATGAAAACCAACTAGCAATTTTTTTGCTTCATGTCTTTATTGAATAGGTGCAAAAATGAAAACTTATTTGTAATAAAACCCATAGAATGAACAGGAGACAACAGCAATTATAATAATCTTATTTTTCAAGCTAATAACTTTAAAAATAATGTGTAAGAAATTTTTATGTTTTAATTTAAGCTTACAATCTTTTAAATTCTACCACACTGGCAAATGCTTATGAAAATAAATAAAAATAAATGATGCATAGATCTAGGAAAATTTCTTAAAAACCAAACTAATGCATGACAAATCAATGTGAAAATGATATATGCAAGTAATATAAAAACATTTAAATATTGTCATGTTTCATAATTCATGAAACTCTTTTGACCAACATAACTGAATAAAGACAACCAGAAATAAATTAATAAAAATTCAGGGTTGCAACTCTAATGTAAGTAAAATGACAATTCCCATTACATTAAGTTTATACCCCCTGCCTGAATGAAAAGAACAACTTATGAATAAAATTATAAAGTATAAGCATAAATAAATTTCAGGAAACTGTGTAAGCCACGAATTTCTACATTGATCCTTATAGTTTAACAGAATCAAAAACAATAAACTAGGAACTGCCTATAAAAGATTTGCTTAAATATTTATAATAGAGTTGTTAGGCTTGATTCAACAAATTACTACTGAATCACTGAATATGGATACACAAGCAAAGAGATTTACTACTACATACTATGCTACACTGAATGTGACAATGATTACATGATGTATTTTAGCCAAAGTAAAGAAGGATAATTAAATTTTTGTGAATGCTTAATTACATAAGTCAGGTATGCAAAGCAATACATTTTCAGTGGCTTTTATTGTGATGTGAATGGTATTCCAACATGAAAAACTAAAAAGAAAATGTGAGTAGGAAAACTTATTCTCTTAACCTACTCATAACTACATCTAACTATACTTCAAGAGACTAAAATTCAAATTCTTTTACCTGCATGCCCTCCACTGATAATTATTACCAAAATTATTACTTATTTGGTGAGGTGGTTTGTTTTAAAATCCACTAAAGTAATTTATTCTACATTCCGATGCAAAGAAATAAATGTGAATTTGAAGAAAATTTTTGCATCTCTTATTAATTACATTTTCAAACTTTGCAAAAATGAAGTAGTAAATTAAAACTATTCCGTAGCCCTAGCCAGTTTAGCGCAGTGGATAGAGCCTCAGCCTGTGGACTGAAGGGTCCCAGGTTCAATTCCAGTCAAGGGCACATGCTTCAGATGCAGGCTGCTGGCCCTGGTTGGGGTGTGCAGGAGGCAAACAACCGATGTGTCTCTCTCACATCAGTGTTTCTGTCTCTTCTCTCTTCCTTTCATTCCCTTAAAAAAAAAAATCAATGGAAAAATGGGTGAGGATTAAAACATAATAATTAATAAAAATAATAAAACTACTCATTAGACATTAGGTTATAGAAAAGAAAGAAAAGAACTGTAATTTGAAGATGCAGACACAGAGGTAAAAATTTCAGTTATAACT